GCCACTTACCAGGATAAGCCAAAAGTCACAGATGACTCGGCACTTACCAGTATGCGCCAAATTCACAGAGGACCTCGGCACTTACCAGTATGCGCCAAAGGACACAGAGGACCTTGGCACTTACCAGTATGAGCCAAAGGACACAGAGTGCCACGCCACTTACGAGTATGAGCCAAAGGACAAAAAGGTCCTCAGCACTTACTAATATTAGCCAAAGGTCAAAGAGGCCTTGAAACTTATCAGTATAAGCCAAAGGTCACGAAGGACCTCGTCATTTACCAGTACGAGCCCAAGGACACAGAGGTCCTCGTCCCTTGATACTATTAACCAATTTACTGAGACGGCCTCGTCACTCACCAGAGTTAAGAACAGGACAGAGAGCCTACCTCTTGCCTTTTTGAAAACACAGAATATAGACATCAGCACTTACCAGTATGACCAATAAGACACAAAGTGCATCATAAGTTACAATTATAACCCACAGGACACAAAGCGTCATAACTTACCAGTATAATCCACAGGACACAAAGCGTCACATAACTTACCAGTATAATCCACAGGACACAAAGCGTCACATAACTTACCAGTATAATCCACAGGACACAAAGCGTCTAATATCTTACCAGTATTAGCACAGAACTCAGCGAGCCTCGTTGCTTATCAGTTAAAGCCACAAGATGCAAAGCGTCTCATATCTTACCAGTATTAGCCCCAGATCTCAGCAGGCCTCGTCACTTACCACTACAAGCTGTAGGACAGAGAACTTTGTCACTTACCACTACAAGCTAAAGGACAGAGTGATGTGTCACTTACCATTACAAGCTATAGGACAGAGTGATGTGTCACTTACCATTATAAGCTATAGGACAGAGTGAGTGATGTGTCACTTACCATTACAAGCTATAGGACAGAGTGATGTGTCACTTACCATTGCAAGCTATACGACAGAGAGATGTGTCACTTACCATTGCAAGCTATAGGACAGAGATATTTCTCACTTACCATTACAAGCTATAGGACAGAGATATGTGTCACTTACCATTACAAGCTAAAGGACAGAGTGATGTGTCACTTACCATTGCAAGCTATAGGACAGAGTGATGTGTCACTTACCATTACAAGCTATAGGACAGAGATATGTGTCACTTACCACTACAAGCTATAGTACAGAGAGATTTGTGACTTACCACTACAAGCTATAGCACAGAGAGATGTGCCACTTACCACTACAAGATATAGGACAGAGAGATGTGTCACTTATCACTACAAGATATAGGACAGAGTGATGTGTCACTTACCATTACAAGCTATAGGACAGAGAGATGTGTCACTTACCATTACAAGCTAAAGGACAGAGTGATGTTTCACTTACCATTACAAGCTATAGGACAGAGAGATTTGTCACTTACCATTACAAGCTATAGGACAGAGAGATGTGTCACTTACCATTATAAGCTATAGGACAGTGATGTGTCACTTACCATTACAAGATATAGGACAGAGAGATTTGTCACTCACCACTACAAGCTATAGGACAGAGAGATTTGTCATTTACCACTACAAGCTATAGGACAGAGAGATTTGTCACTTACCATGATAAGTTATACCACAGAGGATTTGTCACTTACCACTACAAGCTAAAGGACAGAGATATGTGTCACTTACCACTACAAGCTATAGGACAGAGATATTTGTCACTTACCACTATAAGTTATAGGACAGAGAGATGTGTCACTTACCATTACAAGCTATAGCACAGAGAGATGAGTCACCACTACAAGATATAGGACAGAGAGATGTGTCCCTTATCACTACAAGATATAGGACAGAGAGATGTGTCCCTTATCACTACAAGATATAGGACAGAGAGATGAGTCACTTACTATTACAAGCTATAGGACAGAGAGATGTGTCACTTACTATTACAAGCTATAGGACAGAGAGATGTGTCACTTACTATTACAAGCTATAGGACAGAGAGATGTGTCACTTACCATTAAAAGCTATAGGACAGAGAGATTTGTCACTTACCATTACAAGCTATAGCACAGAGAGATGTGTCACCACTACAAGATATAGGACAGAGAGATGTGTCACTTATCACTACAAGATATAGGACAGAGAGATGTGTCACTTACTATTACAAGCTATAGGACAGAGAGATGTGTCACTTACCATTACAAGCTATAGGACAGAGATATGTGTCACTTACCACTACAAGCTATAGTACAGAGAGATTTGTTACTTACCACTACAAGCTATAGCACAGAGAGATGTGTCACTTACCACTACAAGATATAGGACAGAGAGATGTGTCACTTATCACTACAAGATATAGGACAGAGTGATGTGTCACTTACCATTACAAGATATAGGACAGAGATATTTGTCACTTACCATTACAAGCTATAGGACAGAGAGATGTGTCACTTACCACTACAAGATATAGGACAGAGATATGTGTCACTTACCACTACAAGCTATAGGACAGAAATATTTGTCACTTACCACTATAAGCTATAGGACAGAGAGATGTGTCACTTACCATTACAAGCTATAGGGCAGAGATATCTGTCACTTACCATTACAAGCTATAGGACAGAGTGATGTGTCACTTACCATTACAAGCTATAGGACAGAGATATGTGTCACTTACCACTACAAGCTATAGTACAGAGAGATTTTTGACTTACCACTACAAGCTATAGCACAGAGAGATGTGTCACTTACCACTACAAGATATAGGACAAAGATATGTGTCACTTACCATTACAAGCTATAGGACAGAGATATTTGTCACTTACCATTACAAGCTATAGGACAGAGTGATGTGTCACTTACCATTACAAGCTATAGGACAGAGATATCTGTCACTTACCATTACAAGCTAAAGGACAGAGAGATGTGTCACTTACCACTACAAGATATAGGACAAAGATATGTGTCACTTACCATTACAAGCTATAGGACAGAGAGATTTGTCATTTACCACTACAAGCTATAGGACAGATAGATGTGTCACTTACCATTGCAAGATATAGTACAGAGAGATTTGTCACTCACCACTACAAGCTATAGGACAGAGAGAATTGTCATTTACCACTACAAGCTATAGGACAGATAGATGTGTCACTTACCACTACAAGATATAGGACAGAGATATGTGTCACTTACCATTATAAGCTATAGGACAGTGATGTGTCACTTACCATTACAAGCTAAAGGACAGAGGGATGTGTCACTTACCACTACAAGATATGTGTCACTTACCATTACAAGCTAAAGGACAGAGGGATGTGTCACTTACCACTACAAGATATAGGACAGAGAGATGTGTCACTTACTATTACAAGCTATAGGACAGAGAGATGTTACACTTACCATTACAAGCTATAGGACAGAGAGATGTGTCACTCACCATTATAAGCTATAGGACAGAGTGATGTGTCACTCACCATTATAAGCTATAGGACAGAGAGATTTGTCACTTACCACTACAAGCGATAGGACAGAAAGCTACAAGATATAGGACAGAGAGATGTGTCACTTACTATTACAAGCTATAGGACAGAGAGATGTGTCACTCACCATTATAAGCTATAGGACAGAGAGATTTGTCACTTACAATTACAAGCTATAGGACAGAGATATCTGTCACTTACCATTACAAACTAAAGGACAGAGAGATGTGTCACTTACCACTACAAGATATGTGTCACTTACCATTACAAGCTATAGGATAGAGAGATTTGTCACTTACCATTACAAGCTATATGACAGAGAGATTTGTCACTTACCATTACAAGAGATAGGACAGAGAGCTTTGTCACTTACCATTACAAGCTATCGGACAGAGAGATTTGTCACTTACCATTGCAAGATATAGAACCGAGAGATTTGTCACTTACCATTACAAGCTATATGACAGAGAGATGTGTCACTTACCACTACAAGATATGTGTCACTTACCATTACAAGCTATAGGATAGAGAGATTTGTCACTTACCATTACAAGCTATAGAGAGATTTGTCATTTACCACTACAAGCTATAGGACAGCGAGATGTGTCACTTACCATTGCAAGATATAGTACAGAGAGATTTGTCACTCACCACTACAAGCTATAGGACAGAGAGATTGGTCACTTACCATTACAAGCTATAGGACAGAGTGATGCGTCACTTACCATTATAAGCTATAGGACAGATGGATTTGTGACTTACCATGATAAGTTATACCACAGAGGATTTGTCACTTACCACTACAAGCTATAGGACAGAGGGATTTTCCACTTACCATTATAAGCTATAGGACAGAGTGATGTGTCACTCACCATTATAAGCTATAGGACAGAGAGATTTGTCACTTACCACTACAAGCGATAGGACAGAAAGATTTGTCACTTACCATGATAAGTTATACCACAGAGAGATTTGTCACTTACCATTGCAAGATATAGGACAGAGAGATTTGTCACTTACCACTACAAGCGATAGGACAGAGAGATTTGTCATTTACCACTACAAGCTATAGGACAGAGAGATGTGTCACTTACCATTGCAAGATATAGTACAGAGAGATTTGTCACTCACCACTACAAGCTATAGGACAGAGAGATTTGTCATTTACCACTACAAGCTATAGGACAGAGAGATTGGTCACTTACCATTACAAGCTATAGGACAGAGAGATTTGTCATTTACCATTACAAGCTATAGGACAGAGAGATTTGTCACTTACCACTACAAGCGATAGGACAGAAAGATTTGTCACTTACCATGATAAGTTATACCACAGAGGATTTGTCACTTACCACTACAAGCTATAGGACAGAGGGATTTTCCACTTACCATTATAAGCTATAGGACAGATGGATTTGTGACTTACCATGATAAGTTATACCACAGAGAGATTTGTCACTTACCACTACAAGCTATAGGACAGAGAGATTTGTCACATACCACTACAAGCCACACGACACAAAAGGCGTCAATTCTTACCAAGAGAAGCCAAAGGACAATGGACCTCGTCGCTGTTGTCCCCGCAGTCATTGATCCCGTTACACACGGATGTTAGTGGTACACAGTGGCGGTTGGAGCACTCATGTTTGCTGTGACCACAGTGCCATGGTTCTGTACGATAATTCAACGTTGGTGTAATATTTATCTGTACAATTGCATCTACTTATAAGGCTGGGATTAGCTACCATGCTTTCAGAGATGCATCTTAACCCTTTCACCCCTATGTAACTTTAGCAGACTCTACCATGCATTGATCTGGATGAGTCCACTATGGTCTACAGTTGTGAAAGGGTTAAAATGATCGTTACCCACACACAGGTGATTGCACCTTTATAATTTAGTAATAGATACAGTATTTCAAAAAGTAATTACACTGTATTGAATAGATGTTTCGTAAATAAGATAGAAAATAGGACATATGGACCTGATAAAATTTCTTGTTATGTTATTTCCTTTCTGATAATGGTATTATCGGATCAGATACAAAATCCTTTATCAGTTTCAAAGATAATTAAATATTTAGAACAACCATCAAATTATATGCATCATGTATTATTGGATTTAAAACATGAAGCAATGCTATGCTGTTTTTTCATTATTTTTAGGATTAGGACACCATTTTATGGCGTCTGTTTCATTTTCGAACAAACATAAATAGTACATTACCTTTAGCATGTGTTATAGTCCACTTCAACCCCTCAAGGTAGTTATGCACTAAATAAAAGATACGGACATACGGTAAATATTTTAATTGTCACACAGTAAAGTGTCACTAGGTAAACGGTTCTACACACGTTAAATGTTTTATTTGTCACACAGTAGAATGTCACTAGGTAAACGGTTCTCCACACGGTAAATGTTTTATTTGTAACACAGTAAAGTATCACTAGGTAAACGGTTCTACACACGGTAAATGCTTTATTTGTCACACAGTAAAGTCTCACTAGGTAAACGGTTCTACACACGGCAAATGTTTTATTTGTCACACAGTAGAATGTCACTAGGTAAACGGCTCTACACACGGTAAATGCTTTATTTGTCACACAGTAGAATGTCACTAGGTAAACGGCTCTACACACGGTAAATGCTTTATTTGTCACACAGTAGAATGTCACTAGGTAAACGGTTCTACACACGGTAAATGTTTTATTTGTCACACAGTAAAGTGTCACTAGTTAAACGGTTCTTAGTCGATTTTTATAGTCCTCTCGTGGATTGTTACGGGCTAAAGGCGTGTTTAGTCATACAGTTAAATGTGACAGTATATTTCTTGGTTTTTGTAGCCCTCTTGTTGAATGTTACAGCTTAAAGGTTCGTTTAGAAATACAGTTTAATGTGACAGTATATTTTAAGGGATTGTTTTATATGTAGCCTTCTCATGGAACGTTACGTGTTATAAATGTATTTATACATACAGTTAAATATGACAACATAATTCAGGGTTTCTGTAACCTTCTTAAGGAATGTTACAGCTTAAAGATGCGAGTATAATACAGAAAATGTGACATTATATTTTAGGGTTTCTGTAAACTACTTATGGAATGTTACAGCTTAAAGATGCGAGTAGAATACAGAAAATGTGACATTATATTTTAGGGTTTCTGTAACTTACCTGTGGAATGTTACAGCAGAAAGATGCGAATAGAAATACAGAAAATGTGACATTATATTTTAGGGTTTCTGTAACCTACTTGTGGAATGTTACAGATGAAAGGTGAGAGTAGAATACAGAAAATGTAACATTATATTTTAGGGTTTCTGTAATCTACTTGTGGAATGTTACAGCTGAAAGGTGCGAATAGAATACAGAAAATGTGACATTATATTTTAGGGTTTCTGTAACCTACTTGTGGAATGTTACAGCTGAAAGGTACGAATAGAATACAGAAAATGAGACATTATATTTTAGGGTTTCTGTAACCTACTTGTGGAATGTTACAGCTGAAAGGTGAGAGTAGAATACAGAAAATGTAACATTATATTTTAGGGTTTCTGTAACCTACTTGTGGAATGTTACAGATGAAAGGTGAGAGTAGAATACAGAAAATGTAACATTATATTTTAGGGTTTCTGTAATCTACTTGTGGAATGTTACAGCTGAAAGGTGCGAATAGAATACAGAAAATGTGACATTATATTTTAGGGTTTCTGTAACCTACTCGTGGAATGTTACATATGAAAGGTGAGAGTAGAATACAGAAAATGTGACATTATGTTTTGATTTTTTTTAGACTGATTTGATATTAAAATTCTGTTATTGGAATTGGGTCCTTCCATATTAATTATTATTATTGGGTTGTAATTACTGTATGATGGTATATGGTCTTTCATATTTCCATTATTCAATATTTCCCACTCAAAATCTATATTTGCATAAACAATTTCATTTTTATGCTGAACATGTAGCCTTATTTAATTACTTTGGAATATTGTGAAATGTGAACGCGAGTAAAAGCTATGTAAAAGGTGTAAATTGCAATCTACAAATATTTTGATGATGGCGATGAAGATGATGAAACGTAGAATTTTATTTTCATAACATTTCATTTCTTAAAAAAAAATATTCCCACATTATACCACTACCATAAAAACTGTAGTCCCATTGCTAACTATTTTAGTACTTCAGACCTTTAGTAGTTTGAATGTTATTGTTTTTTCTCATCCTTGATATATATACATGTAACGTCACTGTACTCAAAACGGATACTTGTGGGGAAAATGCTGATTATCGTTACATGGACAATTTACATGTAATAATAATTACCAAAATATAACTTCCGTGATTTATGTGCCGTGCGACGCTATTTATTTGGATATCATTTTCAAAAGTCAATTTCATCAAAATTAATGCTAGTTTGTAGAAGAAACTTGGTCAGAACCCCATTTGACTCTAACATATTTGAACTGTGTATCATTTTCTGTTGATATTGATCTTTTATCACCAATATTAGCCAAAATACCGAAGTGTCCCTTTCAGGTTACAGTAACACCTGTTCAGGGGCCTACGTGGCCCTGATAGTATTTCGCGTTCTATTTAAAGAACAACGCGCTAGAAATAGCAACTTGTAATAGAAATGATAAGTGGATGGTATATATTTATGAAAACTGAACAAACATTTTTGGAATTGATAATATGGTATAAAGTACATGCAGGTACAAAATTTTAGGTTGGTATTTCTCATCCTTGATGAGACTGTTGGGTTATATAAGGTAGGGGCAAAAATGTTGTAAATCCGAATGTTTAGATACGTAAAACCATTACTTCCTAAAATTCACAGGAGTAATTGTTAATTTCAAATTAAACATTCTGAAAAGTGTGTATATTTTTAATTGAACAAAGTCTTTAATTGAAATGAGTTCATGACAGATGAATAAGCCAGATATGTTCATCTGTCTAAAGTTTGAATTATGTATATAAATAATGTTGATAAATCTACAAACCATGTGCTGTATTTATAACCATAAGAGTGATTGTCACGTAGAGGGCCAAAGCCTTCATCTTGGATTCGTGGTCAGATGTATAAAGGAAATAATACTATTCCCACTCCTCGACCTGTGATCATGCACTGATCCTGCCTTATCTTTGTGTTTGTCATTTCGGTTAGGATTTTGACCTTAACTCAGTGTACGTTATATGATGATATATAACTGTATGCTGTAAGAGTTGTTAGAAGGTCATGTTAATATAGCCCTACGTTGTATCCAAGTAACAATTGATATGAATGGTGAACGTTTGTTGATCCTTCGGTCATGCTATCATTAAACACCAATATTATACATTATAAAGATATATTCCTTTAATCATAATAGTCTTAAAATGTGATAATATAAGTATTGTCCATGTTACCATTATCCGGACATGTGTTGATAATATGTTCATATGAAGTTCAAGCGTTAGATAATGACTAAAAAGTGTGGAAGATTCTATAAATCGGTGCAAAACGTTCAACAACGAAAATATCATGCGTTTATTTCGTCAATATATGATTCTTCAATGGTAGTTAAGGTCAAAGGTCATGTGTAAAATGTCTACGCTCATCTAGCACTCGAACTTCATATAAACATATTATCAAAACATATTCGTAAAATGGTTACATGAAACATATTTATATTAGCACACTTTAAGACTATGATGATTAAATGATAATATCTTTAATATATGCATATGATGAATAAATAATGTTATGCTATTAGTGTATTATAATATCATGACAGAATGATAAACAAAATTGAAGGTCGAGGGATACCATTGGAATTAAGATCTCTATCACTTTTGTGGGCTATACGTTGAATATATCATCTTCGTAAATAACCTACATATCTAAAATTGTTTTGTTTTGTATGCATTTTCCAAAATAACTACTATTATGTTTATTGCTATAAACATGTAGGTTTGCAGCAAACGTAGAAAGATATCAATAAATACCTTTATAACGATACAGGAGTATACCATTAGGCATCAACCTATCTTATTCTTAAATCAGTCCATCATGTGAAAACGCCACCGTACTCAACACAAATAGGATCGACCGCAACTCCACGAAAACCCCACCGTACTAAACACAATTAGGATCGATCGCAACTCCACGAAAACGCCACCGTTCTAAACACAAATAGGATCGACCGCAACTCCACAAAAACGCAACCGTCCTCAACACAAATAGGATCGCCCGTAACTCCACGAAAACGCCACGGTACTGAACACAGATAGGATCGACTTGAACTCCACGAAAACGCCACGGTACTGAACACAGATAGGATCGACTTGAACTCCACGAAAACGCCACCGTACTCAACACAATTAGGATCGACCGCAACCCCACGAAAACGCCACCGTACTGAACATAGATAGGATCGGCTGCAACTCCACGAAAACGCCACGGTACTGAACACAGATAGGATCGACTGCAACTCCACAAAAACGCCACCGTACTCAACACAATTAGGATCGACCGCAACCCCACGAAAACGCCACCGTACTGAACATAGATAGGATCGGCTGCAACTCCACGAAAACGCCACCGTTCTAAACAAAATTAGGATCGACCGCAACCCCACGAAAACGCCACCGTACTCAACACAAATAGGATCGAGCGCAACTCCACGAAAACGCCACCGTACTAAACACAGATAGGATCGACTGCAACTCCACGAAAACGCCACCGTACTCAACACAAATAGGATCAATCAGGAACTCACTCATCCTCACGATTTTATCCTTGATATATTTCTTTCTGGTCTTTGTCGTGCTTTTTTTACAAGAATGTAAACCATATTTTTTATATCGCCGTTCGCCTTTCTTGGAAAAGAGAGTTTTCATTAGCAGGGATTGGAGGCATCCGTTTAGTTTCGTTTTAAACTAAAGAATTTGTATTTAGATCGGGTTTAATATTAGGTAGATCTGAATGTATTAGGTAGATCTAAATGTGAGAGCTTGCACGTATACCTACGAGAGTAAAAATATATATGTTCCAGCAGGATGGGGCTTTCTGTATGGGCATACACCAATTCGTTTGTGTGGGGTATTTTTTTACACAGAACAAGGTATTCATTTGAACACAAACTGAATTTGGTTTAGTTTGTTTGCGCTTTTGACGTTACGTCATTTGAAAAGCTTTGACAAAATAAGGACGAGCGAGGTTTTCGTAGTGGTGAAAAACAAGAATACATGGAGAAAGCAGAAAAGAATTCCATCAGCGTCAAGTACCCTGCGACAGCCCAACTGCCACATACAAGCGTCGATTATAAGCTATATCTTTGGATGACGTTCAAAATGAAGGGGTGCAAACATTCGCTTATGAACGGGCAAACCACTCCTTATCCAGTTTTCTCCCCATTGAAAAATGCATATGAAGAGAGTATGTGTGAGTGTCAGGGATATTTTCTATTCAAATTGATGAAGTTTTGACGTATTTGAAGTAGAACCTTTACGTAACCTCTGTTTGCGGTGATATTACTTTTCTAACTATTAAATAAAGGTTCAACATTACTTCGATAAGCGGATTTCCGGATTATAACGTACGCTTTAATGTACGTTTAATTACGTTGGTTGGATAATATGTTCATCCCTTGTCTTACCTATAGGTATAATCCCCCTTGTCTATAGTATTGTAATCATTGTTATTAGCGATAATTACTCTGTGCGATTTACAACCTGATTACAGTTAATATGCGATAATTAGATTGACTTCTATATGCGCAAGTGCGCGAAAACTCTCGATATCGAGGATGTTATTATATGACATTACTTAGAGTGCTGACAAGAGGAGGAAGGTTAAACGCGTACCACCAGATCAGCCTTACCTACATTACTACAGACGGACTACTACAACAGAGTAAGTTATTCTACATTTTGGTATTACTGATATGTTTTGGTGTGGCTAAATGATGTGTCATTTCATTCTTTGTGCCGTATTAGTTCATGCTTTTGTCTTTATAAATATTCTTTATTTATGGATTACTATACTTCTTTCAGTATGATTAATTTTCAAATCCTATGGAACTTAGGTTTTTTTCAGCATCCGTAAGAAACAAAACAGCTCAAGTCGAGCCACGTTGAAGAGCAATACACTGTATACCAGGACATTTTCGTTTAGTCAATTATGTGTCTTTGACGGTAAAATCCGTTTTTACACAGCATTCAGTTCGCCCTTAACATTGAATTAATATGTGTATTATGTTCTTTACAAATCTTTGCTTTGCTGTAAGGATAAATTCGCCCCCATTACGGATAGCAGAAAAGGCTTAGAGTAAGTTAAACTACAGCCAGAAGTTCCCGGTACACAGTATTAGCAACGATGGACAAGGAAGATGTGTGACGGTTTAACAGCATGGCATCAAAAGTTACTCTTACCCTAAGTTGGTCTATAGTTTAAATAATTACACAGAAATGTAGTGCAAGTTTACGTTTCTAAAGCTTCCGTAATCCACCTCCAAAAATATCCTTAGTACTCTTTGTTCTAATTCATTGTTCAAACATTATATAGTTTTATTGTCTCAGTGTTAGAAAAACTCGATGTTTCGTTTCTCCTCGGTTAGTCATATTTCATCGTCCAAAGTCTTCGATTTGTTTCATACCTCGAGTGAATCATGATTGATCAGGTGGCAGAGACGAATAACATTTCCCTAGCACACGGATAGGAAATATGTTTTATCTTACCAATGTAAAGCAATAACACAAAAGTAAAGTGGATCAGGCGTATGTGCAAATTGTTGTCTGCTTCAGTCTGATTCTTTTTTCTTTTTTTTTTGTAATTTTTTCTTTTTTTCCAAATTTATAACAATGCAAATATATCATACATAAACATTATTCCTCTCGCACATTAAATATTCATCTATAATAAAACTGCATATTTCCAGGTATAATTAATAATTAATTATGTTTATGTATAATTAAATTCCATCTAAATTGTGTCCGTTATATAAAAGCATTGTTTAGAAGTGATAGAAAAGAGGTTAGAGCAGGTCCTAGAGGTATAGAAGGGAAAGTAAGACTAAGAGAGAGAGAGA